TAATATTTTTAATATTAATATTTAATATTTCAGTGATTCATTTATTGAATGCCCAAAAGCACACCATTTAATGATGCCCCGCGTGAAGGAAAGTACATAATCGTACCCTGTGCGAGGGAAAGTACATAATAACAACATTAATACCAACATTTTTGGTGCTCCGTGTAAGGCAAAGTCATTAATAATAACATTATTTTGATGCCACTCGGAGCAGTGCACAACATCACTACAGGTAGAATGATGAGGTACGTGCAGCCCAATCAGGTTTCACAGGTAGTCCAGCTCCTCCAGGATGGCACATACATATGTGCTGTCACAATAAGGTTTGCTATGTCTCCCAGCACAGTCTAAAGAGTATGGGAGGAGATACAAGAAGACCGGCCATGACAAAGGGAGGAGGCCCCCATTCTCTGTAATGTAGGCTGTGACTGATCAGCCTAAAGACCTATGAGAAAACCCATTGATGCATCCCCATGGGTCTCCCTCATTGTTGTGACACAGACAAAGGGGGAGGAAAGACATGCATGTGTGTCGTTCTCAGGGAGCCAAACAAGTCAATTGTCATTTACTGTCATCCTATTCCACACATGGACGAGCTGTTCACTAACTTGCGAGGGGCTGCTGTCTTTTCTTCTACTACTAAACTTCTTCCACCGTCATCGGCCTGATCACAGACGGCGACGAGACGGCCTACAGAGAGGAGGTCAGAGCCCTGACATCCTGGTGTCAGGACAACAACCTCCATCTCAACRTCAGCAAAACCAAGGAGCTGATTGTGGATTACAGGAAGAAGCAGAGAGACGGACACGCCCCCATCACCATCGATGGGACTCCTGTGGAGAGAGTCAGCAGCTTCAGGTTCCTCTGGGTTCAAATCACTGAAGACCTGACATGGAGCCATCACACCAGGGTTATCACAAAAACAGCTCGTCAGCAGCTCTTCTTCCTCCGCAGGCTGCGGAGGTTCAACATGCACTCCAGGATACTCTGCAACTTCTACAGGTGCACCATCGAGAGTATCCTGACCGGATGCATCACGGCCTGGAACGGCAGTTGGACCGCCCTCAACCGTAAGACTCTACAGAGGGTGGTGAAAACTGCCCAGCAATTCACCAGGACGGAGCTACCATCCATGGAGGACCTCTACACCCAGCGTTGTAGGAAGAAGGCTCACAGGATTAAAAGACCCCCATCACCCCAGCAACAAACTCTTCTGTCTGCTGCCGTCTGGTAGACGGTACCGCAGCATCCGGACCAAGACAACAAGACTCAGGGACAGTTTTATCCTACAGGCTATAAGACTGTTGAACTCCTGAGCTCTGTGGAAGTCACTACATCTGTTTATAGCAACATATTCATTTAAACATTATAATATTCATACACAC